TTTCATTGCTGTGGCTAATGTGAAACATAAATCTTAACCTTAATTTCCCTTCATTGCTAACCAGTCCTCAACCTGCTGCTATCAGAAATGATTCTCTCTACAATCAGGAATTATTGGACTTAACTCACTCAGTCTTTTTTCTGCCAGTCTTGTCTTTTTCAACTACTCTGAAAGATTAGTTCACGTAGCTGATATGAAGTTTATATTACTGTCCAAACTGGAACTCTTGAAAAAGAGTGATAGAGGACATAGACCTGATTTGGTTTTGGGGTAGGAGGCATAAACCAAGACTGTTCCTTGTAAACTGGAAGCATTAACAAACTCCCTTAAAGCTCTACAAATTCCTTTGTGGCCACTTGAATTCAAGTTATAAAAAGATACAAATGTGCTGGATGTGCTGTCAGATGCTTGTAATCCCATACTCTGGGAGGCTGAGGCACAAGGATCAAAAGTTCAAGTCAAGGGCCAGGGATTTAGCTCAGTGGTTCCAGTGCCTGCCTCGAAAGCAAGCGCAAGGTCCCAAGTTCAGTCCCCGGTACAAAAACAAAAAAGTTCAAGTCTAGTCTGGGCAATTTAGTGACTTAGCAAGACCTTGTCTCAAAATTTGGACAAAAAAATTTAAAAGGGACATAAATGCATAGAGAAAGTTTTTGGAAGGTTCTACACCAAGCCTAATACTGATTGTTTCATTCAGATGTAGGGTGTGATAGCTCTTTTATAGTTTATTCTATATACATCTGTATGGTTTGGATTTTTTTCCCATTACTGCTGCATAAGATTTTTTTAATTCATTAATTTTATTGGTACATTTTAGGTATACAATATGCTGACATTCATCATTGAGAATTTGTACCTTTACATAATATATCATGGTTCTTATTTTTTCCCATTCCCCTGCCCTTCCTTCAGCCCCTCCACACCTCCCTATTTGCAAAGACTTTGTTTCCATTTTTTCTTTTTCTCATATTTATTCCTTTCCTTTCTTTCCTTTCCCCTACCCCTCCCACTTAAAAACAATAAGCATATATGCCTTTTATAGTTAACCTTTGTGTATGTGTGTGTAGTTGAACCCAGGGATGTTCTACCACTGAGCTGTATCCCCAGCCCATTTTTTTGATTTTTGAAACAGGGTCTTGCTTAATTGCCCAGGCTAGCCTTGAACTTGCAATCCTCCTGCTTGGGCCTCCTGAGTAGCTAGGACAGTAAGTATGAATCACTGTGTCTGGAAATATATTTAACTCTTTATTTTTCAGTACTGGGGATTGAACCTAGGCTTTTGCCCTGAGTTATAGTCCAGCCCTCTTTCTTATTTTTTCATTTTGAGACAGAGTTTTACTGAGTTACCCAGGCTAGGCTTGAACTTGGAATTTTTCTGCCTGAGCCTCCTAGAGTTCTGGGATTATAGGCATGCACCTTCATTCCCAGCCTGAATTTAGCCTTTAAAAAGAAGACCTAGTCTTACTGTAGACAAAATAAGTGATACTGTGATTATAGACAAAGTATAGTCTAAGCTACAAATAGAAAAGGGATGAAGCTTGGGAAACGTTCTTGAGAACATCAAAGAAAACTTTTAGCTGGATATGGTGCTACATGCCTGAAATCTCAGCACTCTGAGAGACTGAGGCAGGAGGATTGCCGAAAGTTTGAGGCTAACCTAAGCTGCACAGTGAGTTCAACACCAACCTAAACTACACAACGAGACCCTGTCTCAAAAAAACAAAACAAACCAAACACCCACCCCCACCCCCGCCAAAAAACAAAAAGATTTTAGTCTGATTTAGAAGCAAATATCTAAGTTTTAATCCTTCACATTCATGGAAGTTTTATCCTATAGACATAAAACTTACAACATGATTGCCAAGTCATTGTTTATTTTCTAAAAATCATAATCAGAGAAGTACTTAAAAAGAAATGTTGCAGTGTTTTGTTTGTTTTGCTTTATATTCAAAGGTGATAGCAGGGAGAAACTAGGTGGTAGAAACTGTAGACTTACGCTGTCTTAATGCTGATTAACAACAGTATTCAGAAGCATTATTGGACAGATGTTCATGGATACTTAGAAAAAGATATGACCCGCAGTCATCAAGAGCTAGTGATCGATAGCTTAAAGTTTTAGGATATAAATACATTAAGTATCTATGTGATACTGGAAATCTGGAAAAATATTTTATTTTGTTTATTTATTTTTGAGACATGATCTTATGGTACCCAGGCTGGCCAAAAACTTGAGATCTTCCTGCGTTAGCCTCTCATATAGCTGGAATTACAAGCTGGGTACACCACCATGCCCAGCAATATTTTAAAGTGTCAAAGGATAATAGTGTTTCATCTTCAGTAAATTGCAGTGTGAACTTTTTTTGTTTTTGTTTTTCTTCTCTTTTTATGTGCTGCTGAGGATGAAATCCAGCTGGTTTTGGACTCCGGGCAGTCCTCCTACCACAGTTTCCCAAGTGCTGGGGTTACAAGCATGTGCCACCACACCCAGTTCAAAAATTACTGCCTTAATATTTTCTCCAGGAAGTTTACCTGATCTACTATCTTACTGTGTCCCTACATTCCCAGGCCACTTCCCCCCGTAAAAAGACTTTGTTCGGTGTTCCTTCTGTGTGTACACAGCATCTTATACTTCTGTCAGAATCTACAATCTCTTTGTCTTATAAATTATCTGCTTGTATTTCTTTTTAACTGGACTGTAGGTTCTGTGAGGTTAAGATCTGTATTTGTTTTACCATTATGTTCTCTGTCAGGAGGACTTGGTAGGGAATAGTCTATTGAATGAATGCTAGGATGACTATGAACCAGAATTCTCATTGAATGAATGGTAGGATGACTGAACCAGAATTCCATTAAAGATATGTATTTAACAGTGGAGAATTTATTGTAGGGTAATTACCAACTGAGGCAAGGCCACTACTTGCTACAACATAAGGTACATTTATAAGCCAGTAACAGTTGTTTATTATGATCAAGTATTATGTACTACATATAATTGGCATACACTATACTTTTATAGACTGGCAGTTCAGTACATTTACACCAGCATCCACAGACCCCATTACAATGTCTACAATGTCACTAGGTGATAGGAATTTTTCAGCTCTCCTATAATCTTACAAGACCACTGGTGTATATTTAGTCTGTCATTTACTGAAACATTGTTACAAGGGCATGACTGTATTTTAAAAATTTGCTCCAGGGAGTTGATTAGCTAAATTTGTCAGTCTATGACTCTAATAAAATTAAGACTGTGATAAATTAGATTCTTGAATGCTCTTAATTTTCTTTATGTGGATTACGGTTTGGAGACTATAGACAAGTGATGGTGAACCTTTTTAGAGCTTTCAGTGATAACAGCCTGCTGTGGCACATGTACCATAAGTTTGCCACCACTGCTATAGACTATTTTGGGTACTTGACCAACCAGCTTACAAATGCTTTTCTTGATCATAAAGGATCTTTGATGAGTGAAACATAAATTCATTTTCACTATTGGCAAAAGTACATTATCTGACCTTATGTAAATGCTATCATTTTCAGGTAGGAAGCACAGAACTTTTTTTTTTCTGGTACTGGGAATCAAACTCAGGACCTTGTACTTACCAGGCAGGCGTGGTACCACTGAGCTATATCCCCAGCTCTACCAGAACATTTTGTAATGAGCTCACCTGGGAATTTAGCTCAGTGGTTCCGGTGCCTGCTGCACAAGTGCAAGGTCCCGATTTCGATCCCCGGTACAAAAAAAATATATATATATATATATATAAATATAAATATATATATAAATATAAATATATATAAATATATATATAATGAGCTGATATTTTGTCATTTATGAAACTATGTCAGGCAGATAAATTAGATAAATTTTTCTTGTCTTTAGCTAGTTTCTAGTCAAAACATTGTTTCAAACATTAGGTCAGATAATTTCTCCTCTATCCTTTCTAGTGAGATTATGTTATACATTTATAAAACAGATTCATGATTTGCTTACTGTCCTAGGAGCCATCATCCTCATGTTTGGTTTCTTCTGCGTACTGTTGTACAAAGGCTTTACATATTTGTGTAATGGTCCTTTATGTCTTTTGGATTTAAGCATTTGCTTCAAATGCTTGTGTAATTTTGTTTATTAAGTTCAGGAGATATTCCTCTCCCCTTTATCTTTTTTTGGTACCTTGTGAACATTAAGGCAGCTTTGACTATAACAAGTTTAGATGCCATTAAAAAAAAGAGAGAAAGTGGTTTTATTTATTTTTTGGTTGTATATTCTCACGAATAAATGTCCATGAAAAATATTATAGGCCTCGAATTTATTATTTACGTTGTCAAAAATGTTAATTTTAATCTTAATAGCCATGTTACCAAGTTACATGTTTAAAATTATCTAGCAGAATTTCTGCCCTTTTTCATTAGCTTGAAACTGTGCTTTTAAAGATTCATAATTTGAATGGCTAAGTATATTGCATGTTTCTTTTGCTTTTTCTTCTCCTTTTTTGAGATAGGATTTCTCTGTATAGCTCAGGCAGGCCTTGACCTCACTTTGTAGCCCACGCTGGCCTGAAACTTGTGATCCTCTTGCCTCAGCGTCCTGGGAGCTGGGATTTTAGGCATGTGCCACCACACCTGGCTGCATGTTTTTATTGCCAGTTATTCTTACCAGAGAGCTCTAAAGTCAGATTGTAGTGGGATGGAAAATATTGGGGGGAAAATTGCATCAGTGTTGAACATGTACAGACTTTTCCTTATTATTCCCTAAACAATATAACAACTATATACATAGTATTTACATTGGATTAAATGTTATAAGTACTATAGAGATTATTAATTAAGTACATGGAGGATATACATAGGTTATGTGCACCATTTTACCCGAGATTTGAGCATCCACAGGGTTTGGTATGTGCTGTTCCCCACAGATACCAAGGGAAAACTATATTTGAGTATCTAATGTGGTTTCAAAAACGAATCACTGTATTGACTTCTTTATATATTTATTTTTATAGATGAAAAAAGCCAAGATGCAGGAACCGGGAGAACAAACTTTAAGGTATGTAAATTTGAAGTTCTTCTTAATGATTGTATTAGTTACCTTTCTGTTCCTGGGACAAAATGCTTGACATACTCAATTTAAAGAAAGAAAGATTCATTTTGGCCCACAGTTTCATAGGTTTTAGTTCATGTTTAGCTGGCTTAAGGGCAGAAATATTATGGCGGAAGGGAGTGATAGCAGAAAGCTGCCTGCACCATAGCAACCAGGAAACAGAAAGGGAAGGAACCCAAGAAAAGATACATCTTTGAAAGGCATGCCCCTAGTGACCTGCTTCCCCCAGCTGGGATCCACCTCTTAACAGCCTACTCAGCAATGAATTCGTCAATAGGTTAATCCACCCATGAGGTTCACACCCTCAGGGTCCAGTCACCTTTCTAGGTGTATTTTAATCCAGTCAAGCTGGCACTCCAGATTGACTTTCATAATTGTTTACCTTCTCTTTTTCACATGCTGATTAGTGTCTGGGCAGGCTTCGGGTTGACTGCCCTCTTTTTGCTTCTTAACGTCAGCCTTTGCCTTTTGAAATTATCTGCTTTAACATTAAAATTTCCTTCCAAGACAGGATTGCTTGAATCCATTAGTTTGAGACCAGCCTGGGAAACATAGTGAGATCTCATCTCAAAAAACAAAAAAATTCCTTCCAAAATGACTATTCCCCAAAATACCTATGCTGGGTTTTTTTTTAATGCATTCAACATTTATTAATATATACTGGACTCATTTTAGATATTCGGCACGCTATACCATATAGGGAAGACCTGAAGATGAAAATGAAAAATGCCATATTAATATACAAAATAAGCCTAAGCCAAGATAAGTGAAATTGAGAAATTTGTTATTAACTATCAAGTAGATATGAAATACCTTAGTCATTAGTTCCACTCCCCAATAGAAAAAAGGGTGAGGGGTATAACTTAGTGGTAGAGCACTTGCTTAGCATGTCTGAGGCCCTGAGTTCAACCAACAACAATCAAGCACTTACCTATCCAATTATTTAAATACAGGATGACCAAAAATTGCATATTTTTTCATTAATTTTTATAATATAACTGGAAATCAACAATTTTATCAAATTTATTCAATACAAGAATCAACTGGTTGAAATGCACCTGCCCGAGTGACACTGGGCATAGTCAGCACATAAATAAACGTGCTGCTTGTGTGACATTCAGGGTAAACTGTTAAGTGGTTAAAAAGGAAAAGATAGGGCCGGGGATTTAGCTCAGTGGTGCCACCGCCTGCCCCGCAAGTGCAAGGACCCGAGTTCGATCCCCAGTACCAAAAAAAGGGGAAAAGATAAAAATGAAAGAAAGAAAAAGAAGCAGCTTTTTATTTCTCATGTGCTCTGACTCCATAATTCCTGGTATTTAGTTTTCTACAATTATTACCTCTTGTCTTTTGTCTACCAACCATGTGAGCCAGTAACTCCATCACTTCTAGCACATTCACTTCAGAAATTCTTTTACCACTCCACATTGTAATCCTGGCTCATTTATGGTAGAACTGCCATGGTGGCCATATGATGTCTCACACTCCCAGTTAAATGATTATTATATTTTCATTATTACTCATTTACCCTTCCCTCAAAAAGAACTTGAATTTCTTCCTTGTGCTGCTTAAATTTTAAGATTTACTATTATCAGTCCCCTTGTCTCTTTTGGGAAAGGGTACTAGGGCTTGAATTTAAGCCCTTCACACTGAACTACCTCCTCAACCTTTATTTTTTTGAGATAAGATCTTACTCAGTTGCCGAAGCCTAAGCCTGAGGTGTAGTCCTCCTGCCTTAGCCTCCCAGAGTGCTGGGATTATAGGCATGTACCACTATGCCTGGCTGCAGATGTTCTTAACTTCCTCTTTTTTCCTGTGTCATACTTATCTAGCAAAATCACAACCTTGGTTAAATTATGTTTGCCTTTTCCATGCATATTCCAGTCACCCTAATATTATAAGAGAAAAACACAAACCTATACCGGCTATTCTTAGTTTCTATTTTTCTCTCTCCCCACTCCTTACAACCACTATTCCACTTTCCTTCTCGCTGGGGTTGACTACTCTTAAACACCTTATATAAATGGAATTATACAGTACTGTATTTATCTTCTTGTTTTTGTAAAGGCTGAATAATACTCTAGGTATATTACATTTTGTTTTTGCATTCCTCTAATTTTGTTGATAATAAACAAGAGTTCTACTGATTGAGAAGGAGTTTTTTTTTTTTTTTGGTACTGGGGATCGAACTCGGGACCTTGTGGTTGTGAGGCAGGCGGCGGAACCACTGATCTAAATCCCCGGCCCCTGAGAAGGAGATATTTGTGATACTCATCTTTCTAAAGTTTGGGTGTTTTCATTTTTTTTTTTTTTGTTCTGTTTTGTTTTGTCATTTTATTTTGAGCAACTTCATTTTCATGATACACATTGTTAAGCAAAATTTATGTTTATATAGCCCTGAAAGTAATTTTATTTTGAGGCAGTATGTAATTTCTCTAAAAATAGTAATAGAGTTAATTTACTGTCCTAGCACTGTGTTTCTGTTTAATTGGTAGATCCTGAGCTGAATAAGTTGTATGTAAAGGATTTTACTGTCACATAAGATTCTAGGACCAAAGGATCTTAGGGAACTGGTCCAGTGTTTACTAAGCCATACAAATATCTTCTAAGATACAGTATCTAGAAATCTAGAAATAGTCTTTAACAATGGGTATAGTGGTGAAGCCAGAGTATCCAGGTGTGCACGGAAGACAAACCAGTCACTGCAGTTTGAAATTTGGTCAAGTTTTATATAATTCCTCATGGGAATTCTAAAGCATAAGATGAGGCTCAAAAGTCCTTATTTTTGTATCAACAATTCAGGTCATTATAATGATTCAGCCAGCTGGGAAAACACTGATATAACTACTCCATATTATTTCTTTCCTCACCCTTCACTTCTTTTGGTCATTTCTTGGTTGTTATATTAATTGCTCTTCCAAAAATGTAAGCATTTGAATAAAGACATAAAAATAAACTTCATCTGAGGACTTAGCTTTTAGAATTAAATACTTCTGAGATAGCCATGGTGGCATACACCTGTAATGCCAGCACTCAGGAGACTGAATCAAGAAGATTGCCAAGAGTTCAAGGCCAGCCTGCGTTACATAGTGAGTTAGTTCACAGGGCCAGGGATTTACTTCAGTGGTGCCACCACCTGCCTCATAAGCGTTAAGATCCTGAGTTTAATCCCCAGTACCAAAAAAAAGCAAAAACAAAAACATAGTTCAAGGTTGGCCTGGACTACATAACAAGACCCTATCTCAAAAAACAAAACAAAGATTAAATACTTCTGAGGAAAAGTTAAACTTTCAAAACATACCAGAAAACCCTCTATTAATAATACTTTAGTATTGGTTATCAGTTTCAGAAATATGAGCGCTTTTAATGTTCCTATGTAGAAGCTAGCCTTACCTCTGATTAGTCACCCTTTTCTTTTCAGATATATGACATCCCTGATAGATTGGCTTTACCTCTCCCTGGAGTAGGAGAGAGAAAGAAGTTTCTTACTAGAAAGCATGAATGTGGAAAGGGATCTTGGAGTGGAAAGAAGTTGTAATATAATGGTTCCAGTTTATAGTGTACTTGATATGTTCCAGCTTTGCTTTAAATATGTTTTGTATAAACAACCCAGTGAGGTATGATCTATCTTATCCTCATTGACAAATATACTAGAGCACAAAGGTCAGTGACTTGCCCAAAGTCATAGTAGTTTTTGAGAGACGGAATATGAACTTGAGCTGTCTAGCTCTAGAATCTGTGCTCTTAGCCACTATGTTATACTGGTAGGGAATAACTAGAGAGTGGGATGTAAAATAGAAGAAGGAAAACATTGTGTGGGACACAAGTTGGAATAATCTCTGTTCCAGAATTTCACTCTAATCTTCCCAACATTACAGTATCTAAGTGACTTGCTCTCCCAGTTTGCATGATTTACCTTTTAGAATTTCTCTTAAATTTCCTAAGTTAAAAACAAAACACAGCCTCAGTGGTAGAGCACTTGTCTGTCATACATGCACACCTGGGTTCACAAAAGAGATAGAGTGGATTGAACCATTTTAAGGATTCAGAATCTCTACTTGGAAATAGGCTTGTATAGTTTGTAAAAACGTTTCAAATGATTATGATTTGTAGCTAATTAAGAACCATTTCTGAAATCAGGTGACTTCGTGTACTTTCCTGTAGAACTCTGGAACCAAAGTGACAGAGTACACAGAATGGTGACTGTGGTAAATAATAATGCATCATGTATTTCAAAATTATTAATAGGTTTGAAGTGTATTCACCACAAAAAATAAGTATATGATGTGATGGATTTGTTAAGTAGCTTGATTTTTATCATCCCACAATGTAAACAGAATCAAAACATTACATTATTCCCTCTAAAGACATAATACACACAATGTTTTAAAAAGTGACAGCAGTGTTTTAGATGTTTGGAATTTTTCTTTTAGCATGTTTTTAAAGAAAAGTTTGGCTTGTAAATGACTTAGATGGAGTTTCTGAGTAATATGAAAACAGTTTTTTAAGGGTCTAGGAATCTGAAAAAGGACAGTAGAATTCTGAGGGTACCAACCCTGGCTCTAACTTTTTTCATGTAGGTACTAAAAACCAATGAGAATATTATGAAGATTTATTTACCTTGCCTTTTACTTGTATAACGTAGGAGGAAAAGAGCTTGATCTCATCACTTTTAGCAATGCAGCAAATCAATCAGGGGCTAATATATTTATTTTGGTTCTCTCAGTCAAGTAAGCAGCCCAGACGTCAGTGATCAGAAACCTGAAACATCAAGCCTTGCTGCAAACCTTACCATGTCAGAGGAAAGTAAGTACCATATTTTGCGCATGATAGAAGGGGCATTCCTATGTGCTCTTCTTGTGTAGTTGGGTTTCACTGATTGCCTAGATTGTCTCAGAATATCCAGAAAGATCTCCTCTCCTTGTGTGTATGCTCACTTGTACTGTCCTGTAAGTTTTATCACCAGGCTGGGACCAGGGGTTTGGGGTTAACTTGCTCAGAACCTTCTCCCCCAGGAATCACACTTGGTGATTTTTTTTGAGGTTGGTTGTTTTGAAGATAATAGTACCCTATTCAAAATCAGAGACATTTGTGGCCCAACCCTTGACTACAGACAGGGCAGTTGATATTTTTCTGCCTTTCTAATAAAATGAAGTGACCTCATCTGTCAAATCTTGGCCAAGAAAGAAAAGCATTCCCTTGAGCCCAAGATTGATGCTAGACTCTGAAGGAGATTCACCTCAGTAAGATAAATCCCCCATATACCAGTTCTCACTCTCCTATAGGACAGTTATATGTATATATTAGGCAGAATCTTTGTGGAGTGTTCTATTATTTTCTTGTGGAGACATAGGCTTTGTCTAACATACCTACTTCTCCATATTGGCTCCATGGGGAAAGTAGTCCATCTTGAAATTAAATAGCTATGCCTTTCTATTCTATCACACACTTTAAAAGAAGAAATTTATGTAAGTCTTTTTTAAACAGAGTCACTTGTTTGGGGACTATTTCCTCTCTTAAGATAAGTATCCTTAGGGGCTGGGGATTTAGCTCAGTGGTTTCGCCGCCTGCTGCGCAAGTGCAAGGACCTGAGTTCAATCCCTGGTACCAAAAAAAAAAAAAAAAAAAAGATAAGTATCCTTGACTTTCTCTACTTTTCATGTATTAAATAAAGTATGACTTTTTAAAAAAAAAGATGTCTTGAGTTTTGCATATTATTTCCTCAAAGGCGATTTTAGGTCTCAGTGTTGTCAGACTTTTAGCATAAGACATAAGAATCATCTGAAATGCTTGTTTGTAATATACAATTCTAGCCACACCTTCAGAGATTTTTTTTCTTCTTCTTTTATTGGTACATTTTAGGTATGCAATACATTTACATTTCTCATTGGGAACTTGTATCTTTACATGATGCATCTTGGTTCTTATTTTTTTCCCCATTCCTAGCCCTCCCTTC